TTCTGTAATGAATGTTCTGCTTTGCATCCAATAAGAGTTTCTGCTGCGTCAAAGAGTGTTACTCTTGCATTATCCGTGCCATTTTCCACGAGAATCTTAACTAAGTACCTGTATTTTTCATTGTTAATTTCTAAAGACAATTAGTAATGTATTTTAATATGTTCATGGCAATAAAAAAGATATATTACTTAACCTTGGTACTGGGTCATCAATGATTCTGCGGCATTTTTTATTCAGACACTCTTTACTAACATCTTTATCAACCTTCTTATCACAGCCTTTGCAAGTATAGAACCATGGCTCGAGCCTATTTAAAATAGTAGTTATCTTTACCTTAAATGTGCAATATCGTGCCTGTATATTAACAAAGTTTAGTTAGATTTAAATTTGTAGATAAAAATATGTATATAATATTGTACCTGTATCGAATTCTGTGACTTATACATAATATCACTAATATGAATCTCCTTGGCATTTTTAAAAAGCGTCGATGGAGATCCTTTTGCTTTTGCAGCTTCTTCCAATTGAAACCTGCATATTATATTAAAAAATAATAATATTCCATTATTGGGTTATATGAAAGTATGCTTGTTCTACTTACCATTCCCTTAATTCGCTAGCTAGTTCTATTTTTGGGTTAATGCAAAATGTTGAAATAATTTGCGACGATATGCTTGTATCCCCTGCAAAAATGAGAAAATTATAGGCGTAATTGTATGTTTAGCTATCTTTAATAAGAATTTCAGCAATAATTTATGTACCTTGATATATAGAGATTTTAAAATCTGATAATGCTATTACAGGCTTATATTTGATTTCTGCTTCAAGAATTGATCCTTCATTTGTAGCTAAATCTCCAAATAAAGTTGCACGCATTAGCATTCCACTCCATATGAAAAAAAAGAACGTTAATATTTTTTCTCTTATGATATTGGAAATAAGTAACATGAATATACCTTATATCCATAAGCGTGATTTCCCTCCTAGTGTCTGGTTTGTTGTGTCTTGTAATATAGTTGATCGGCGACTTAACATTAGTTGTTATTGCAAGAATATCTGCAAGTGATTTGATAAAAAGATTATTATTCTGTAGATTAATGTCTCATTTTGTATTGAAGATTTAAGTAAGAAGTTTGTAAGTACTTACTAATTTTTGTTGCATCTTTCATGGAAAATGCTTCTTCAAATGGGACAAAGTTGTTAAATATGTTCTCCAAGTGGAATCCTGTTGGTGCTTCTTTGATCGATGCGTCTTTTGTTAGTACTAATTCAATTGACTTGTGGATACTTGGAAAAGCTGAGTTTATTCCTTTCACTTCTCCATTTGAAATGAAAATAATTTGATTTTTTTGAAGCATATCTATAAACTTTTCGATGGTGTCTCCGTACATTACTGCTTGTATTTTGTTACCCTGTAAATATTATTAACACCAGAGATCAATGCATGGAAAATATAATTAATTAATACTAATCTAGATATTATATGTAAACAGGGAAACATCATAAAAAGCCATTCTGATAGTTATCAGTGTTTTAATGTAATTTACCGATTAGAAAATGAGATTTAGCAATATTCATATGATCAGATGTAATGTTGGGCAAACAATATAATATTTAAAATAATTTTATTTTACCTTTGCGTCTGTAAGAATTAGCTTTAGTATTTTCCCTGATCCTTTTGCATTTTTGTAAGTTGCATCTGCACTTCGAAGTATGATAACATGAATGGTCCATTCCTTCTGAAACTTCTTGAGTTGGCTTATTTGGATGTGCTGAGTTTGTTCTTCAATACCGGTAATCATATTTTCTGTTAAATAGATTAAAATATACATGTTAGTTTTGAACAATGTAATCATATTTTCTGTTAAATAGATTAAAATATACATGTTAGTTTTGAACAATATTATAGAATATAACATATCTTAGAAAATGAATTTATTATACATGTTAGTTTTGAACAATATTATAGAATATAACATATCTTAGAAAATGAATTTATTAATTCTTGTTTCTCATAAGGTTTTGAATATTTTTAACTGATAATATAGTTTGAGTGGGGTTAAAAAGTGAAAGCTAAAGGGAAAAAATTATACAATATTGAAAATTATAAATTATAGGAATGAACATGAATGAACATACGCAATTATTCTTATAAATTAATTACCTTTAGAATAGCTATTGCGACTTTGAAGTTCATTTCATGTTTGTTGGCTGGAGGACTTCCTTGTATACTATATTTTTTGTGTATCTTTCATATTCTTTAAATTGTCCGTCTGATATTATTAGGACTTTGGTTGTTGTCATTGAAGTCCCTCGTGATAAAGCAACATACAGCTGTCCATGAGAAAAAATGTGTTGAGGTAGATAGATGCCTACATGAGGAATTGTTTGTCCTTGTGATTTATTGATTGTCATTGCAAAACATAGCCGTATTAGAAATTGCTTTCGTTTGAACTTGAACGGGAACCCTTCATCTTCTGCTGGAGATAATGGTATTCTTGGCAAGAAAACTTCTTTCCCTGCATGTTGGCCCATTATGATCTTAGCATGGATTATATTACAATTAAAATCTTAACATACCATTCTTATTCCGTTGCATAGCCCATTAGTCGGATCCAGGTTCCTTAATAAAATAATAGGATAATGTTTCTTTAATACCAGCTTGTGGGGTGGTAGTCCATTTGGTAGCAATGTGTTTATGAATTCTGGCTGGTAGTGATGATTAGTGTCATCAAATGCTTCATCAAAGCTGTAGAATTCTTTTTCTTCACCTGGAAATTGTTTTATGATTCTATCATTTAGCATGTCGACATATTCATTTTTTGTTGCCAAGATAGCTCAACCTTTCATATAGTCAATGGATTTGAAGTTGTCATCTAAAGATGGGAAAATTGAATTTATTAGACAATCTTTCAGTAAATCATCACTTTGATTCTTTATCAAAATAGAAGTGGGCAATGTTTTTAGGTCATCAACCACTGTCGGTTCATCGCCATTTCCAACCCTTAAAAGGAATTCGCTAAATGTTGAATCTGTTCTTGCTCTCATATTCTTTGATAGTTTCAATTTTTCCATTTTGCTCCACAAATATGAGCTTACTAAACTTTCTCTAACAGTTTGTGATCTTGTTGTGCGGGGGTACTACTGGTAAAACTTGTCTGAAATCCTCACCAAATACTATTACTTTTCCACCAAATGGTTCATCTTGATCCATTATATCCCTTAATGTTCTATCTAATGTTTCAACTGCAACACGTTTAGCCATTGGAGCTTCATCCCAAATTATTAATCTAGCTATCTTAATCAGCTTTGAGGTTCCATCTTGCTTGGATATGCTACACATAGATGATTCTATTGTTGTGATTTTTATCTTAAATCTGGAATGTGCTGTTCGGCCACCAGGCATTATTACTGCTACCACGCCTGATGTCGCTGTAGCAAGAGCAATCATCCCTTCTGATCTTACTTTGGCTAGCAAAGCACGGTATAAGAATGTCTTCCCAGTTCCTCCTGGCCATAAGAATGTCTTCCCAGTTCCTCCTGGCCCATCAATAAAGAAAATCCCGCTTTTATTTCCTTGAATTCGTGATAGTACGGAAGTGTATGCATTATATTGTTCTGAATTGAGTGATGATTCAGCATTGAGGTCTTCATCTGGAATTTGTACATTGAATTCATCTTGAATTTCTCTTGGGTATGAACTTCCTTTTGAATGAGGGTTAGTTTGAATAGGCAGTAAATCAAATTTCTTGATATCATTTCCCATGCTCTCTAAGAAGAATTTAATGTTGCAAAGGGTGTCGTTTATAATCGAAACTTTCATAGCACCAGGTTTCCTTGAGAAGTCTTCAGATAATGAGTCAAGGTATCGATCCCATAATTTATTAACATCTGCGGGCTCACAGTGAACCAGTATGGTTGCAAACAGGCAGCGAAGGGTTGCTGGCATTTGAAAGATGACGACTTCATCTAACCATTCTCTGATGCTATTATCTGATTCTAATAAACCTAATTTTTGAGCTGAATGTTTGAATGATGTGCATTGAATTCCATCCATGGTCAATAGATTCTCAAATGAGGTGGGGGCATCTGATGTGAGTAAGTAAAAGGCGTACGTAATATCTTTCCCCTTCAATTGGATTAGCACCATTTATACGGCCTATCACTTGTCTCTGTTTTCTTGGACTCTAACATTTTGTTGTCGAATCCCAAACATAATATTCGGGAAGTTCACAATATAATAACTCCTTTTCTTGATCCTTTTTTGATTTTGATTTGTTGGCTTCTTTAATTTTTTTGAACATAGTGTAAAAAATTCTGTAAGCATCGTCTTGTGGACATGGTCCCAGCGGATGAGCTTCGATAAGTCTTGATTTTTCCAATAGAAAACAAACTGTTGATTCGGCAAGTGTAGTTGTAAGTTGATGACAGCTAGGTAGATCTCATTAAGATAGAATTCATATATTCTCTACAAAGCTTCTCGAGCTGATACCCATCTTGCATCTTGAAAATTTTTGATTTCATTCACAAGTCTTCCTCCTTCATTATATTCAATGTTTACTGCCACTTTATCATGACCCTTATATATGTATTTGTAAAGATACTTCACTGCTTTAATGCCTGAGCATATTTCAACATTAATGTGACAATTATAACGTGTCAGCAAATATGGATTGTAAGGTACAACCCACTGATTATTAAGGATTTTATTGCGGACCAACATTGTTTTGTTATCATTCCTTCTCTTATAAATTGGGTAAGCATCTTTTGCTTGAATTGATTGTGAGCTAAAATCACGAGGATAGTGATATTTGCATTCTCCATTTTGCATGCAACTGTTCTTCATGTTCAACTCTCCACAAGGTCCGTGCATCATATGTTTTTTACCAATTCATAGAGGATCGGGTGTTTGGATTGGTCTGGAATTTCTGCAGATACATATTTATCATGATGGAAGCACTATTCTCTTGCCCACTTGGCATGCATTTGTTTCCCCGGCAACTACACTCTCAACAATACCTTGGAATAACTCTGCTCTGATTTCTAATTGTTTATTTCTAAATTAATCAAGTCTTGTTGTTTCAAGCTTTATGTACATATCAACAACATATTGATGGAATAAACGACCTGCTGATGTAAGTATAAAAGATTGCCGTGTGTCTCTTATCTGGAGCTTATGACAATAATAATCTCGGCATGAAACTTTTCCGGTTTTTGGTGCCTTGACTCCTGTAAATTTAGGCGTTAAACTATGTTCATATATAATAATATTACTTAGAAATGTGAATTAAAATTTACCTTCACTTTCTCGGTTAAATATGTCTTCTGCAGATTTGAAGGTAGGTGGAGATATTGAAGTTGGTATTATAGTTCTTTGTTGATTGGCAACTCTGATATCCCTTTTATCCCTTCTTTTAATATTTTGATGTCATCCAACCTCTCCATTTGGAAAGAGTAAGGGATACTACAGTGGATCATAACAGCCAAAATAGTGTTTCACTTGATGTCTTCCTCCTGAGTGTGCATGGACAATAATCTCTCTCTCAAATGGTGCATTGTCATTATTTCCTTAAACCCAGATTACAGCCACCTGATCTGCTGTTGGTGAGTTGTAAACACGTTGATCTAGTGCAACGTCACTATTTATTAGTATCTTTAATTCTTCAAAAGATTGATAATCATTCAATTTGCGAAGGAACTTTGCATATGGGTTTCCTTGTAATATATCCATCAAGCTCTTAGTTGTGCTTTCAATCATATTTGCATTGTCTAGAATTCCTAATCGATTTTGCAACTCATTCTCCGTATCATAGAAGTAAAGCTGAAAGTATGAAGGCTTATTTTCCTTTGGAATTAGAGCCGGGAGATTATGATATATTTGTCCTTATGCTCTAAATGTGAAAACTCCTTTTCTATTTGATACGAGCTCTTTATCAAATCTTTCCCCAAACGATGTGAATGAGAAAATACTGTTGTACATTCTGGTGTGGCTTCGGAACTCAATTGCCTCTGGTGTATGCATTGTATAAAGGGCAAATAATTCATTTGGAATATTCACATCTGCTAGGTGGATTTCACCGTTGTGACAACAAAAAGTTGGAGGCTCATGTTCAAACTTTTTGGATCCACAATATGCACAAGACTTTGGAGTGCGTAGCTTATATAGTAAAGAACATACCGGTTCATGAAGTATTTGCCCTAGAACAAATATAAATAATTAATAAACTAATATATAATGTTATATGGCTCTTTTAATAAACTATAAAGTATATCTACACTAACCTTCATGCTCATAGGCCAGTAGAAGGGCTCCACAAAATAGGTCAACTTTATGTTGTCGTTTGTCATTAATAGTATTACCAGAAGAGTCATTACTGTGTCGCTTTCTCTTATTATCCGTACTTCTCTGAATGTAAGATTTCTTTTGCTCATCACTCAACCGAGAATATTTTGTTTTTTCAATTCTGGGTATTGGAGTAGTCTCTTCTGTTTAAAAAAAATATTCATGTATTATTATAAATACATACACTTATACTAATATAAAAATATATGAATAATTTTTTATTGAGTTCAATGCAAACCTTGGCTTGAAGCCATTTTAGGCAATAAAGTGTTGTATAGTAGTTAATTATGTTATCCAAACCCTAGAGAATTAATTTCTACAAAAGAAAATAATATGTCATATTACCATTAATTTATGAATATATATGAGCAATGTAGATAGTTAGACAAATTAGTGTAAATTTTCATAAAAATTCAAAAGTAAACGATCAACTATAATCACTATCACAATTAAAATAAAAAAACATTGATATTCAATACTAACCTGATACTCGTAATTTTGGAATAAATCTTGAGTACAAAATTGGAATTGAGATGATATTATCGTATAAGTAAAAAATATGTGTTAGAAAATGAAAAACCATATGAAAATTATATCAACAACAAAAGGGGGAAAATATACTTTAAAATTACAATTCAACTTAATCAAGGGAGTTTAGAATAAATTAGTCAACTATTCTTTGTACACAATAATTTTGATGGTACTAAGTAAGTAATCAAACAACATGCATTTTTTAAACAATTGTAATAAGTCAAATTTTATTCAAAAATAAAGAGAATAAGTAAAATTAAGAGGAGCTTATATTGAAGTTTACTAATAAAAAAACTATAAGTAAAAGTAATTTGTTGAGCTATATATATTTCAAGGGGTATTAGGATAGGATATAAGTATGATTAGGATATGTTATAATTTAAATTAAATATTTAAAATAGTACATAGTAATTTTGACTATAGAAAGCTTTTTCTAACTTGTGCTTTTAAAGAAAGTATGATTTTTTTCTTAATTTTTCTTTTTTATAATTTTGAGAATAAAATTTTGATATAAATTATATGTTCATTATTTTAAAATTATTGAAGATATAGCCTGGACAGAGAATGCTGATTGTTTCCATAAACTTAGCATCGACTATGATTTGCCTACAGAGATTGACGTAGCTTAATTATGTGATTTAACTTAGCATAAACATGCCTCTTTCTTTTCTGTAATGAATTTTTCTGCTTTGCATCCAATAAGAGTTTCTGTTGCGTCAAATAATTAAATAATTTATAATACTAATTTAATAATATATTAATTATATTATTAATATATATAATTATAATAAATACTGAATTTTATTATATAAATATATATTTTTAAATACTATAAAATCTATATATTATAAATTATATATATTAATATATACCATAATATATTTTTAAATTATACCATAATAATTATACCATAAAATCTAGCTGTTACTATTAACACACGTGTACTTAAATTTTTTAGCTTATTGTTTACTATTATCACACTGATATTATGTTTTTCCACTTAAAATTGATAAATTTGTTTAAAATGATAATCACACCCTATTTTGCTTTTGCAATAACTTTTCGGTGTTAACAATATTATGCGAATAACACACCCTATGTTGTGGAAGACACAGAATTCCAAACAAATCTTATAACAATGATAATCACAAATGTGCAAAGAGGTAACAGGTTTGAAATAAGTTGTACATTCTCAGGCATTAGTCTTTTTTTTTAATTTGAAGGGAGATGTGAGAATTATTATCATAAGGAATATTCAATCTCCAAATCCTCATCTCACGCATCGTGTATAGAAACTTTCCTAAAACAAAATCCCAAAATTCAGAATAATAAAGAAGGGTTAAGATTTAAGGCATGCCAACACACTGATTCAAGAGTCATCAATCTTTTTTTTTTTGGTAAATGAAAATTTTTATTTCATCTCCAAATATGAAAGTTGTATTTACATCAATGATCCCAATGTGAGATATACCAGAAAAAGAGTAGCTAAAACTCAAAAAACAGAGCTATAGCCAAGAAACTGAAATTACAAATAGGAAACAATAGCCCTATATATGTGAACAGATTCCAGCAATCTCAGTGGAGATCTGAACCTGTCATTCCATATCCAGCATCCGTGCACGTCTGTGCATGCTCTACAATGAATGGATCCAGGCAACATTTTCAGAGGAGATGTTTGAGTTCAGAAGCACTGTCATGATATCAACTTTAATACCCTTTACTAGATGTTCAACTGACCTGTTTTTTCCCTGAAAGACTCTCATATTCCTCTCAGTCCAGATTGCATAAATGGTGGCTGACATAGCCATTCTTTTAACCCTTTGTTTAATACCTCTTCCTTTCAATCTTGAACTGAACCAGTTTATCAAAATCTCCCAGTGGCATGATCTCCAAGAGAATTGAAGCCAATCCATTATACAATTCCATACATCACTAGAATAAGCACACTCAAAGAATAGGTGGCTTCTGCTTTCCTGAAAAGAAGCAGTACATAAAGTGCAGTGATTTGTATTTATTATACCCCTTCTTAACAGTCTGTCCTGGGTATTCAATCTGTTATTGACAGCTAACCAGCTAATGAATGAGTGTTTAGGATAGCATAGGCTCTCCCATATTGTATTGTGCCATTGGACATTACTGCTGGCTGGATTTAGAGCATGGTATAGTGCAGATAATTTCAGTTTTCCCCCCTTGTAGCAAGAACCAATCAACTGAATGAGGTTTCCTACTCCTCCACAGAAATTCAGAGCCTTATCCCTTGCTTTGATTAATTGTTTCCACATCCAAGAGTCTCCCGATCTTGCTTTAACATGCCAGATATCTCTTTGCTTCAGATAGGTACCATGAATCCATTTAATCCACATTAATTCCCTATTAACATGAATATTCCATAAATTCTTTAAGGCAGCTGCAAGATTCCATATTGAAGCAGAGAAAATGCCAAGGCCACCCTGTTTTTTACCCATACAAACTCTGTCCCAGGATACTAAGGGGATTTTGGATGTTAGATTTGAACTCCCCCACAAATAATTCCTGCAGATTTCATCTATTTTCTGTGTTACTTTGACTGGTAATAAGTAATTTGAAGTCCAATAAATCTGAACTCCCAAGATGATGCTCTTAATCACTTGTAATCTGCCAGCATATGTGAGTTTCCTGTGCTTTTGCCATGTTTGTATTTGACTAGTAATCTTGTTTAAGAGAGAATTACAGTCTTCATAAGACAGTCTTTTGCATACTAGAGGAACCCCCAAGTATCTTATAGGGAAACATCCTTCAGTCAAACACAGTTGATCTTTGATTGCTGTTTTTACAGATTCTTCAACCCCACCAAAGAAAATAGATGATTTCTCTTTATTTGCTTCCAGTCCAGAAACATTACCAAAGTCTGTGACACACTGATAAAGTTTCTTTACTGAGTATAGGTCTCCTTTACCAAAGAGCAATAGATCATCAGCAAAGATTAAATGTGTAATCTTCATTTTGCCACATCTAGGATGATATTTAAACTGCTTATCCTGTTTCAAAAGGTCTAAACTCCTTGATAAATACTCCATACCCAAAATAAAGAGATATGGTGAGAGTGGATCCCCTTGCCTCAAACCCCTTTCCCCCTTAAAATAACCATGCAGTGTACCATTTAGGGAGATAGAGTATTTTGGAGTAGATATACACACCATGATCCAGTCAACTATTCTTTTTGGAAAACCAAGCCCCTTGAGCATTTCGTGTAGAAAATTCCAACTTATGGTATCAAAAGCCTTCTTTATATCAATGTTTAACATGATTCTGGAAGATATATTCCTTCTGCTGTAACTTTTCACAAGTTCATGGGCCAACAAAGTGTTACTTGTTATTTGCCTACCCTTGATGAAAGCACTTTGAGCCTCATTAACCAAGTAGCCTAGAACTGATTTAACTCTATTTGCCAAGATTTTTGATATGCATTTGTAAAGACTGTTACAGCATGAGATTGGTCTAAAATCTGAAGGTGTTTTAGGGCAATGTACCTTTGGTATAAGAGTAATAGAGGTTGAGTTTAATGTACCTAAAAGCTTCCCTGAAGTGAAGAATTCCTCCACTGCTTGAGTGATTTCATCACCCACAATCGACCAGGCTGATTTAAAAAAACATGCACCATACCCATCAGGACCAGGGGCTCTATTATCTGACATTGAAAAAATGGCTTCTTTAATCTCTTCTTTTGATACAGCTCTTTGCAAGAGATTAGCTTGAGAATCACTTAGACACGGCCCTGATTTGATCACATTCATATCAGGCATTATAGTATCAGTGGCTCTCCCCATTAGGTTTTGATAGTATGACACAAATTCCTTTGCAATTTCATCACTGTCAGTCATCCTTTCCCCAGTGTTCTTATAAAGAGCTAAAACTCTATTGTGGTGCCTGTTACACTCCAAGATTTTGTGAAATAAATCTGTACATCTGTCTCCCTTGATACTCCAAGCAATTCTGGACTTTTGTTGATAGTAGGACAGTTCACAATCCAACAGTTTGTTATATGAAGCTAAGCATTCTTTTTCTCTGTTAATGAGATTTGAACGCATAAGGTTGCTTTGAAGATCATTCTGTACTTCTTCTAGAGCTAATTTAGCTCTCTGTACTTGTTCACCTATATTGTTGAAATGTTTCCTGTTTAAATCATTGAGTGAACTCCTCAGCAGCTTCAATTTTGACCAGACAGAGAACATTTTATATCCCTTAACTTCATTTTGCCATATGCTAGATACTACAGGCAAGAAATTTTCATGTTTAATCCACATATTGAAAAATTTGAAAGGTCTCTTTCCCAATTTAAAGTCATCAAAAATGGATATAAGGCCAGGAGAATGGTCAGATAATCCAGGTAGCAAATATTCTACTTGACTAGAATTATGTTGATGCAACCATGAATCATTTACCAAGGATCTATCTAGTCTACTCCATACTCTTGAACTAGGGTCTTGTTTGTTACTCCAAGTGAAGAAACACCCAATTGTCTTGAGATGGTTGAGGTGACTGTCATTTATAAAATCTCTGAGATCTTTTATGTCACCCTCAGATAAAGTAGATCCCCCAAGCTTTTCATCATTATCAACCATGGCATTGAAATCACCACTGATAAGCCAAGGTATGTTACCAATAGCTTGTTGAATATGTTTTAGTTCTGACCACAGCTCCTTCCTTGCTACTGCTTGATTATAGCCATAAATTGTTGAAGTTACACAATTGATCCTCCCATCCAGAGATTTGACAGAACAAGTTATATGCTGAGCTGAGTGGTTTATCATATGAATATCCAGAAGATTGGGGTCCCAGAGGATCATTATCCTAGCCTTACCAGAATCTCCTACATTAGCTTCCCATCTCCATTTATGTGCTAGTTTCCTGGCAATTACTGGCAACTTATCTTCTTTAATCTTTATTTCAATCAGTCCTATAAAAGATAAATGGTATTGCGAGATATAATGTTTCACCAAGTGTTGCTTAGAGGATTTATTTAATCCTCTAAC